CTGAACAGAACAGACCATTTTTCTGATAGAAGAGGTATGGAAAGCCGGCCTCCAGACCATTTGTGGGTTTCGACAGGGCTTATACTGAATCAGGCCATCAAAGTCTCAGCATGATCTCCGCCCCCCCACTAGTCAAGTCATTTATTGTATTTAGCCATTGGCCGTTACAAAATACAGCAGAGCATTCATAAAACGTTAAAACGTTAAAATACAACCTTAGTGACCAGGTTAAAATTAACTAGTAGTCCCTGATAAAAGAAGAATAAAACAGGTTTGATCACCATCAGGTAGCCTGCCCCTTAGATCTAGTCTTAGATGCTGCTAAAGCAAACAGGGAAACTCTATGAGCAGGGGTCATTTCGTAGAAAAAGGGGTGCAGGAGCTCATTAGCATAACTCATTAGCATAACTTATTTGCATGTGCCAAACCCCCTGACATCACCGGAAGTGTGTCAGAAGGCAACACCCACCGCTCAGGCTCCACCGCTCAGGATTGCTAGCTATGGGGAGGGGGGGGACATGCAGATCTGTCCTGGCAGAGGAGGGAGAGCTTGTACCTGAATAAAACTTGGTCTTAAAGGTGCCACTGGACTGTTTTGGACCAGGGGGCCAGGGGGAGCTCTGCAACTTACCTGGCTGCTTCTTGCTCTGACTGAGGGCTGCTGGGAGCAGGGGGTGGGGCACCCCCTGGGCTCTTTACTGCCGGAGCTCCGCTCCTAGGTAACTCGACCTGCGGTGGTCAAATTTGCAATATTTATACCAGGGAGCCACTTTAGATTTCAGAATTAAAGAACAATTGATCAGTGCATCAGCCTTGTACATCCAGACCCTAAGATGCGAATTCTCAGCTGAGACCCTGAGAAGGTCAGTATATCTTTGAATGACAGTATTAAGAAAGTTAGAACAGCTAGGGTCTTTTCCAAAATGGAAGTTGTCTGATTGATGGCTTATAGGATTGGAGCTCGGAGGTGTGTTCTTTTTCCAGTGTTTTATAACCGCCAGGTGTGCCCGGGCTGTCACAGAGGGAAGCCCCAGTTCAGCTCTCATTAAAGATCTGGGAGTACCTCTGGGCAAAGCTAGAATTCACCTCATAAATTGATTTTGGATTACCTCCAAATTAGCCAAAATACCCTCTTTCCAGCCCTAAACTTCAATTCCATATAAGAGATGGGGGATGACCTTGCTGTTGAATAATTTCAATGCCGGGTCAATCAGATGGCCGCCCTTTGTGTGAAAAAAATGTACAATTGATCCTACCATTCTTAAAGCTGAGGCTTTTACTGATGCAAGATGGTTTTCCCAATTCAGAGTCTCCATGAAGGTTACTCCAAGATATTTAAATGTTCTGCATTGTTCGATGGGGTTGCCAAGGATAGTCCATCGAGATATTTTTGGCTTTCTCCTAAAGACCATTACCTTGGTCTTTGCGTAGTTTATATTGAGAAATTCCTCATTACAGTATTTCCCTAGCTGGTGTAAAAGTCTTCTCAGACCGATTTTAGTTAGGGATATTAGAAACATGTCATCCGCATAACGAAGAATTGAAATTTTTTGTTGACCGAGTGATGGAGGGAAGAAATGTGGACCTGAGAGAATCTCTGTAATGTTGTTGATGTACAGGTTAAATAGCGATGGAGTCAGCAGACAGCCCTGTTTCACACCTTTGCTAACAGGAATTCTACTGGTTAAAGAGCCAGAAACACCCACTCTAATTTGGGCAAAGCTCAAATGTAGCTCTCGAAGGAGCAGTAATGCCTCTCTACCTTCATTTCAAAGGGGAGCGGTGGCACAGGGGATTTATCCTCTGGTTAAACATCTGAGCTGAACAGGACTGCTGTCAGTTCGAGCCCCGCACTGGTGTGAGCTACCAGCCGTGTCCCCAGCTCGCCGTCCACCCAGCGGTTCGAAAGCTTCGGCGAGTAGATAAAATGGGTACCACTCCTTAGAGAGGGTGGGCACACTTAACCCCCCCGGTGGGAAAGTGTTAGCTGACAAACGGAAGGTCCGCACGTAAGCTCAAAAGCGGAGAGAGATCTACACAGCTTCAAAGAAAAGCCTGCAATTGGCCATTCCGGCCAGACGGTGGCAGTGGTGCGCTGCGACCGAGAAAATGCTCAAGCGACGGCGACTAAAGAATGCTGCCGGGACACGTCTGATGCTTACAGCTGACCAAACTCCCTGTCGACTGCGAAGTGTTTGTGATTTAAAAAAATGATATGTGTTGTCCTCCCTTACCCCCATCATTGTTAGTCTCGTGTCTACACATGAGTAACTGTAAATCGCTCAAAGCCGGCAGCTCTGCAAGGATTGAGCGATCAATAAATTGAAAGATTATGATTATTATTCATTTTAGCTAACTTTGACCAAAGGCGTTCCCTGTTTATGGAATCAAATGTGGCAGCCAGGTCAACAAATGCTACATAATGAGCCTTTGTTGGTCTATTTGAACCAGAATGTGCCAGTTGGTAGGGGTTTTGTCAATAACCGATCGCTCCAAGGCCCTTCCAAAAACCTGCTTAAACCATATGTAAAATTTGTTCCTCAGCCATCCAATCTTCCAGTTCTGACAACAAGTATTTACCATAAAGTTTTGCTGCTATGTCTAAATAAACATATTGGTACCCCCCCCCAGTAGCCAAACCATTTTGCATAGACACATAAAGGAGCCTTATATTGAATGAGACCATTTGCCTTTCAGATGGGCAGTGGCTCTCCAGGCTCTCAGACTGAGGTCTTTCACATTGCCTACTACCTGGGATCCTTTTAACTGGAGCCCAGGGATCGAACCTAGGAGGTCCTGCAAGCCAAGCAGATGTTCCACCACTGAGCCATGCCCACCCCCAGTGATACGAGGCTGGAAGGCTCCATGTGTTACTGTCCAGGGCGCCCAATGGCAGGAAGAGACGAAAGTAGAGACGAAAACACCCTGTTGGTCACCTTGACCTGTTCTAGTACATCAGGAGACTAAAAAAGAGGGCCGAGGCCGATGGTGTAAAATGAGGTAAAAGTATATTTAATTATTCAGTTAAATTTCCAAAAATCCAATACGCTTTTCGCCAATAGGCTTTGTCAGGGGAATCGGTTTGTCTTGCAGTAGTTCTTCAAAAAGAGTAAAAGATCAGTAGGTGCGGCTCTTTATTCTCTTGTGACTAGTACTAGATCAAAGAAACCAAACGGTATGTTGTCAGAGGATTTCACAGCCGGAGTTCATTAGCTGTTGTAGATTTTCCGGGTTGTATGGCCGTGGTCTTGGCATTGTAGGACCTGACGTTTCACCAGTCGCTGTGACTGGCATCCCCAGAGGTATAACACAGAAAGATGGAGTCACAGCGACTGGCGAAACAACAGCTAAAGCAAACGGTCTTGCTCCAGTTCTGGTTAAGAGACAAACCAGCCTCTGAGCATTTCGTAAGTAGGGTCTACGCAGGGCTTTGTTTTGTAGAAAAAGCCCAGCAGGAATCTATTAGCATAATAGGCCACACCCAACAGCAGAAACCATTAGCATATTAGGCCACACCCCACGTTACCAGAAGTGTGGTCATCCAACCACACCCACCTTTTGCTTCTTATTCTGTTTACTTTGTTGTCAAAACCCTGGGCTTTTTTTGTAGCAGGAACGTATTTGCATGTCAGGCCACACACCCCTAATGTAGCCAATCCTAATGCGTGTCTGCTGTTGGGTGTGGCCTATTATGCTAATGAGTTCCTGCTGGGCGTGGCCAACTCAGGAGCCAGCTGGAACTCCGTTCCTTTGTGTTCCTGCCCAAAAATAGCCCTGGGTCTACGTGTTTTTGCATTGCAGACCTGTATGGAACAGCAACACTGAAGAACTGAATGAGGGCAGGAGAGGGAAGCTTGACCTTGTAAGTCACTGCAGGAGCTGCCTGGTTCTTAGCTTCATTAGAGCTGCACAGCTGAGATATCTTAATTAACAGCTGGACTGGACAGAGGGAGGGGTAGCGTCTTAAGAGGTCCTTCCGAGGATAAAAGTCAAAATGGTAGGTGGGGGGTGGTGGAAGGAGGCGCACATCTTCTGGGCAGGATTTTCCCTACCTTTTGGAGTTTGAGTAAGTTTCAGCTGATTTTAATGACTATTTGTGCTTTGGCAACCATCGAAGGAGTTGAGTTTTCCTTTGTTCATCTAATTATTGTTCAAGGTTGCCTTGCCTTTTCTTTGATAATAAAAGTACCTTTTGCCTGATTTATTGAACTGGAGTGTAGAGCCTGAAGCCGAGTATCCAGACAGAGAACCCAAAGCCTGCATCATACAAGGCCACTTTCACCCTGCATCCCCCCCAACAGACACATGCAAAAAGCTTCCTCCATACTTTAAGTGAAATATTCGCGTTCTTCCAGTTAAAAGCTTCCATATTTTAAGTGAAATATTCGAGTTCTTCTAGTTAAAAGCTTCCTCCATACTCTACTTACTTTTGTTTATTAGCTTCTATGACCAAAGGTTTTAAGCTCAATGATCAAACATGAATACAATGCTCCATACTTTAAGTGAAATATTCGGGTTCTTCGCGTTAAAAGCTTCCGCCATACTTTTAAGTGAAATATTCGGGTTCTTCCAGTTAAGTACACTTTATAAAAGCTTCCGCCATACTTTTAAGTGAAATATTCGGGTTCTTCCAGTTAAGTACACTTTACCGCTGGTTGCTCAACGCTGTGCCCTGCTCACACTACTCATCTGTTACACCTTTCTGCTTCCTTCTTCAGCCACCACCTTTTGCTTTTTTCCCCCTTTTACTGCCACCACCTTTCGCTTTTTTCTTTTCTTGGCTCCCACCTATGAACAGCTCAGGCCTCAGGCAAAAGCGGACATGGCCACCGAAGCATACAACACAGGCATTATGTCCGAGCACTTGCTGGAATTTCCCAGAGGATTTACAAGCCCGTCTTCTGTGATCTGAGGATTCCCTGTCAACCACTGGGTCAATGCAGAATCCCACCCTCTGCCTGAACTTGAGAGAATCGCTCCACAGGTTTGTTGAACTGACTTTTATTTAATGCTGTATCGTACAACACTGGGTTTCGACTCCCCCCCAAACAAACAGCACCAGGAGGGGAGCAGATCCCAGCTGGCCTCCGTGACAGAAGACTGGACTGCCAGGTCACGAATGCTTCATTTGTTGGGGATGGTGGAAGAGGGAGGAGGCTCACCTGGCAGAGGGGGTCCCCACTCCCCAAGAAGACAAGATGTAATGCCCAGCAGGCCCTAAATGGTTTCTTTTCCTTCTAAAGAAGAATCTAGGGACGGGAAGGGAAGGGATGCCAGCTTGTGAACAACCAGGTAAGGGCTAACCTGGCTGTTCCTCCGACGGGGCCACAAATCAGGAAAACAAAGGAGCTCAAAGGGACGATTTTGCTAGTCTCCTGGGTTATCCGGTTGTCATTTCCTTTCCCTCGAGAAAGTCCACATTTCTTCAAGCCGATACCAGGTTTTGGAACAAAGACCGCCAGATGAAGAGAGCTTGCTACATCCTGTGGAATCTCCGCCCTCCAAGGTCGTTGCCACAGAGTTACTTCCCAGAGGGTCCAGGAAGCAGTGAATGTTTCAGCACACGCAGGAACTGTCATGAGGATACAAACCATTCACGGGCAGCTCTGCTCGCCCAGGGTTAGCCCCCCCCCCAACTACAAGGGCCCAGGAACTGGGAGAAGAGTGCTGAAGCCCAGGGGCCGGGGTGGGCGTTCTGACAATAGTATCCGGACCTCAGGGGATGGGGGAAGTTTACTTCTTCTTCCTCTCCTGGGAACAACGAGGGCAGAACCTGGTGGTGAGCAAGAGAGAGAGAAGATAAGTCCAAACACTAACTGGAAATAATTCGGAGAGACATTCTCTGTATAAGAAATCCCCGTGTCCACATACTAGAAACCAAATGGCACAAAGAGAATGGAGTGGACAAAGTGGCTATATTGGTATACGGATATGACCTTGCCACGAGGCAGGGGGGAGACAGTCACCTCACACAGCAGACTGGGCTGTCTGCCCATGAGGCACGAGGAAGAATGAGGCACGGTCGGGTTAGAACGGATAAAAGGAAGTACTTCTTCACCCAAAGAGTGATCAACACTTGGAATTCACTGCCACAGGAAGTGGTGGCGGCTACAAGCATGGACGGCTTCAAAAGGGAATTAGATAAGCATATGGAGCAGAGGTCCATCAGTGGCTCTTAGCCACAAGGTATAGATAGGGACTCTGGGGCAAGTGATGCTCTGTCATCTTGGTGCTTGGGGGGGGGGTCAACAGTGGGAGGGCTTCTAATGTCCTGGCCCCACTGGTGGACCTCCTGATGGCCCCTGGTATTTCTGGCCACTGTGTGATACAGAGTGTTGGACTGGATGGGCCTTTGGCCTGATCCAACATTGGCATCTCTTATGTTCTTATGAAGACAATCCCCTCCGGCAGCATTACAGATGGCACAGTGGGTAACAGTCACTACTGACCCATGGGATGCAAACCACCGTGTTTCATTTATTTAGAACATTTCTATGTCAAGTTGCAACCAGTGTTCCCTCTAAGCTGAGTTAGTGTGAGCCAGCTCACAGTTTTCTAGCCTCCGGCTCACACATTTTTGTCTCCGCTCAGGGAAGGATGGCCCCAGAGCAAACTCATTTACACAGGAGCCCAATCGTTCACGCACGACTGTAATGCCAAGAGCTCACAAAGTAGGATTTTTGCTCACAAGGCTCCACAGCTTAGAGGGAGCCTTGGTTGCAACTGACTCACGGCGGCCCTGGTGGGGATTTCAAGGCAAGCGATGTTCAGAGGTGGTTGGCCAGTGCCTGCCTCTGCACAGTGACCCTGGACTTCCTTGGTCGTCTCCCCTCCAAGTATTAACCTTGCTTAACTCCCCAAATCTGATGAGACCGGGCGAGCCTAGGCCATCCAGGTCAGGTTGCCATTTGCTTAACATGCGGAAATAGAAGTACTATACTTGGGGATACATCTGAAGTGCGGGCCAAATGTGATCTCCATCCCTGACTGAAGACCGAGCGGACCAGGCCCTGCGGTTCTGGAAAGCTTTGAGCACAGATTCGACCACGGGTCCCCAACCTTTTTGAGCCTGTGGGCACATTTGGAATTCTGACGCAGCATGGTGGGCTCTTTTTGTAGCAGGAACTCATTTGCATATTAGGCCACACCTCCTAATGTAGCCAATCCTCCAAGAGCTTACAGTAGCCCCTGTAAGAAGAGCTCTGTAAGCTCTTGGAGGATTGGCTACATTAGGAGGTGTGGCCTAATATGCAAATGAGTTCCTGCTACAAAAAGAGCCCACCATGCTGCGTCAGAATTCCAAATGTGCCCACAGGCTCAAAAAGGTTGGGGACCCGTGGTCGAATCTGTGCTCAAAGCTTTCCAGAACCGCAGGGCCTGGTCCGCTCGGTCTTCAGTCAGCCAGCCACAGAATGATTGCCACAGCTTCCCTTCGGTAACACAGTGTAGGTCCTTGTGCGGTGGTGATAGCTGCTGCTAAAGCAGCCTTTTTAGAAATCTGCACAGACGATCAAATTTCTAGTAGCCAATCAGAAACCTTGCTGGGCAAAAGCCCTACCTGGCCCCACCCACTTCCGAAAAACACTTGGCGGGCACCAGGAAAGGTGTCAGCAGGCGCCACGGCACCCACAGATACCACGTTGGGGACCCCTGGAGTAGACAGACAGACATGCACCTGGAACCGCACCTGCCAGGGATCCTTGCACTATAAAATCTTTCTTCCACCTCTCCCCCTCCACCTGCGCATTATATGGTAGTCCTTCTTAACCCATGAGGGCAGGCATTCCTCCACCCACATTTTCAGACTCCCAAGCCCCTGACTCCTAGAGAAAAAAACGGGGCTCTCTCGACAGTCCACGATCACTCACCATTTCCCTCTCGGCTTGGTCGTCAACCCCACGCAAGCAAAATGGAACCACTCGATGGAACACTGCGGGAGAGTACAAAGAAGGACAGAAAGATAGGTCAGCAACCACTCCGGTTTCCTCGCTTTGTGGCTTCTCAACCCACCCACCCCCGAAATTCTCTCTCCCACCCTGACAAAAGGCTGTCATGGTCCTTGGAAGCCAGTTTTTCTTCACCATAAGGCTTCCTTCTTCTCGAACAACCCACTCTTGCCTCCTTCAGAATGTCTTACTCTCCCTTCCGTGGGACTTATCCTTCCCCCCACTGACCCCCTCCTCGGAAAAAAAGAGTCACAGTTTTTTAGTAAGACTTATAAATCTATGGGGGGGAAACAAAGTGGCCCATCCCAGGCTGTTTTGCAACCTCATTCCAAACTCTCCCAAATGTAGTGCACAACAAAAGAACCTCCTGCTCTCAGTTTTGCATGGGCTTCTACTTTGAATGAGATAAATAAATACAGGACGCTGAACAACAAGTCAAAGAATGATTTGCTAATTGTTTTGCCTTCTTTTTTTTTGTATTTTGCGTGTGTTCGTGCACGCCTGGAAGCCATGGCTGACTTCTGGTGACCCCTAGTGGGACGTGGACATTTCAGAGAGGTGGCTTGCTATTTTCTGCTTCTGCATCCCAGCCCTGATATTCCTTGGAGGTAACAGTAGGTTAGTTACTCTGAGGCATGTTTGGTCCAACTTACATAGTAGCAACCCTTGTAGGTGCTTTCTAAAGCTTAGGAGACCTGGCCCATATGTAACTAGATTATGTAGTGGTCCATATTTTTTGCTTTGTAAACTATATGATTAATTCTAAGGAGACATTATCTTTTACAGAGAAACTGAATAATGTTTACCAGTTAAGAAACTGCAATGAGACTTCCTGTAGTGGGTAAGATTACATGAGACTGTATAAAATAAGTGTTAAATGGTTTAAAAAATGGTTGTATTTTGTGAAATATTATGTGCTTTAAATGTTTGCATTGTATTAGTATGATGTATTCTATATTTTTATAGCTTGTAGTTCCTGAGGAAGAACCTGAAGTCCGAAACACTAATCAATACCTAGGAAAAGTGTTGGACATCTATTCCAGACTTCATTGTGGACATCTATTCCAGACCTGATTGTTGTGAGAGATTGTTATTCTGGACTTTGTTCTTTCCCTTTGGGATATTATGAATTTGTGTATTTTCCTATGATGGATTACATGTATTGAATTACTTATTGTGTTGAAGTCTCTTCCTAATAGCTCTTGTGCGGGTTGGTCAGTACACAGTTGTTATTTATTGGTTTTCCCTGGTTATAATTTACTGTGGACTGTATTATTGTTGTTGTTGCAATTGGATTTAATGCCATAAATATAGACATACATCAGCATTTGGAAATCTCAACTCCTTAAAAGGTATTCAATAAGGCCTTCAAGATGTCACACAAAGCTGCCTTATACTTGAATCAAACCCACTGGTCCATCACACTCAGTATTGTCTACTCAGACTGGCAGCTGCTCTCTAGGGTCTCATATCGAGCAGAGGTCTTTTGAATCACCTACAACCTGGTCCTTTCCACTGGAGATGTCGGCAATCGAACCTGGGGCCTTCTGCACGCCAAGCGGATGCTCTACACAGAGCCACAGCCCCTCTCCACATGCCCACATCTGCAAATGTTGGACTGTCCCTTCATTTGGAGCAGTGGAAACGTGTACCGAGACCACTATCACGGCATCCCTCGTTCCCCGACTTCCACTCCCAGAGAAGTGCTCACATCTGGGTTGTCACAGCCGATCATCTCCCCGTAGGACACCTGGTGGCACAGGCAGTAGGTGGGCTCGTTGGGATCCACGGGCATGTCTAGCACGTCGGAAGGATGCACGTTGCCAAAGGTCACCGAAGGCATCCCGTACTCTGTGCTCCTTCGAGGGGACAAAAAAAGAGTGAGGAAACAACAAAGCTAGCGTGGTCACTGACAAAATGGATGCTGCCTCTCCCCACCTGCACGCCACTATCCCGCTTACTCCGAGAAACAAAGGGCTGGGAAACCACGGCCTATCACCTTGGCAAAGATTCTGGGGACAACAGTGACTCCGTGCTGCATGAGGCTGGAACAAAAATAGGCTACCCCTTGTGGTTCTGAACCTTCCCAGGCCAGAGACCCAGGCGCCAGGTTGGGACCTGCCAAGCTCTGAGCACATGGCAGGAAGTCACATGACATTACTGTCACGCGGCAGGAAGAGGAGGAGCCAGAATCTCTGTGCCTGGCTGTCTCAACAGGAGCAATTGCAAGGGGCCACTTCTCTGCCCCGCTGCTCCTGTTAGTATGTACACATAGAAGAGCAAGAGGCACAGTGGTTTTGCCCTCCGGGCATGGGCGGGAGCAGCAGGTACCTTCCCAAACGCAGCCAAAAAGGTCCGTCCGATGGGCTCCGCATACGAGGGTCCCCAACCCACCAGATGACCCCTGCCCTCATTCATCTGGGTGGAGATCAAGCTCCGTCGGCTTGGACCTGCCCCTTCTTAAAAGGTAAAGGTTCCCTTGCTCGAAAGCCAGTCGAATCCGACCCTAGGGTTGCGGTGCTCATCTCCGTTTCCAAGCCGAAGAGCCAGCGCTGTCCAAAGACGTTCCCGTGGTCATGTGGCCGGCATGACTAAACACCAAGGCGCACGGAACGCTGTTCCCTTCCCACCAAAGTGGTACCTATTTATCTACTTGCAATTTCTTGCTTTCGAACTGCTAGGTTGGCAGGAGCTGGAACTAGAGACGGGAGCTCACTCCGTCATGCGGCAACCCGGGTCTCGAACTGCTGAACTACTGACCTTCCACAGCCTGCAGTTCAGCGTCTTAACCACTTGAGCCACCGCAGCTCTATTCAGGGTTGTTACTTTATTGCATTTATAGTGTTACAGAATTACTGATGTCTGAATGGTCTGAATGCTTTAGGGATGTTGTAACCTGCTCTGAGCCCTGTTGTACAGGGGAGGGAGAGCTATAAGTCAAATAAATAAATAAATAAATAAGCAAGCTACCCCTCTCTCCCAATTGCATCCAAAGTGTCACAAACAGTCCGGCAATGGAAAAGAAGAATCCCTTACCAGCTTCACCAGGGACAGTAACGGCCACATTCTCTAGCTCAGCAAATATGAGCGAACTAAGCCAACTGATGCAAACCCGCCCGCTTTGCAGGCGTTATTCCGAGCACCTGCTAACAGGGTCCTGCTGGATTAGACCAAGAGCTCCTCTAGCCCACCGTCCGGTTTCCAAGGGAGGCTGCCCAGGCGCTTCCAGGAAGAACACAAAAGAGTCACCAAGGCAACAGTTCTCCCCCTCTTGCTTGCTTCACGGCGACCCACATACAGAGATAGATTGCCTCTAAGCGGGGAAGTTCCATTTAGCCACTGGAGCTGACAGCTCCTGACAGTTCGGTCCTTCGTTGATTTGCCCGGTCTCCTTTCAAACCCATCACCAGCCTCTTTTGCAGAGAATCCCAGTGAAGGCAAAGAGGTGCTCCGCTGCTCCTGAGCTACTCTGCACCCCACCCCCTTTCTGGATTAGGGCTCACTGGCAGAGAAATTCATTTGGGAGAAGGGTGGACCAAGGACTGCCCGGCCAGTGCCGCTGCCGTGAGATGGGAAACACCACGGAGAGAGCCGTGCAATTAATAATCCCAGGGAATGGCCTCGAGCAAGCTTGTGGATCTGGGGTCGCAGATCTCCAGTTGAAGAAGAAGAAGAGAAGAGATTGGATTTATACCCCGCCCTTCACTTGGAGTCTCAGAGCGGCTTACAAACTCCTTTCCCTTCTCCTCCCCACAACAGACACCCTGTGAGGTGGGTGGGGCTGAGAGAACTCTGACAGAAACTGCTCTTTCAGGAACAGCTGTGCCAGAGTTTGTGACTGACCCAAGGTCACATCAGCAGGTGCAAGTGGAGGAGTGGGGAATCAAACCCGGTTCTCCCAGATTAGAGTCCGCACACTTAACCACTACACCAAACTGGCTTGTTCCTTTCGCAACAAGCAAGATCACTAGCTGTTGTAGATTTTCCAGGTTGTATGGCCGTGGTCTTGGCATTGTCGGACCTGATGTTTCGCCAGTAGCTGTGACTGGCATCCTCAGAGGTATAACACAGAAAGACGGAGGACTCTCTGTGTCAAGGTGAGAAGCAAAACGGTAGGCAGGTAATTTATATCTAGTCAGGAAGGTGGGGCACAGAGAGTCCTCCATCTCTCTGTGTTATACCTCTGAAGAGGCCAGTCATAGCTACTGGCGAAACATCAAGACCACGGCCATACAGTCCGGAAAATCTACAACAGCTAATGAGCTGTGAAAACTTTTGACAACAATCAAGATCGCCTTTGGATGCCATCCTTCCTCCCAGGAAGACATGACAACATGCTTCCCTCCCACTCTGTTTACCCTCACAACAACCCTATAAGGCAAGGTGAGGCTGAGAAATGGTGACTGACGCATGGGTCCCTAGGGAGAAGGAGAAGAAGAGATGGGATTTATCCCCCGCCCGTCACTACCCGAAGGAGTCTCAGAGTGGCTTACCATCCCTTTCCCTTCCCCTCCCCACAGCAGACACCCTGTGAGGTAAGTGGGGCTGAGAGAGCTCTCTTGAGAACTGCCCCTGAGAGAACAGCTCTGAAATAACTTGTAACTGACCCAAGGTCACACCAGCAGCTGCATGTGGAGGCGTGGGGAATCAAACCCAGTTCTCCCAGTTTAAAGTCCACGCTCCTAACCACTACACCAAACTGGCTCTTGGTGGAGCTGGGATGTGAATACAGATCCCTCCAAACCAAGTCCAAGACGTCCCATTTGCTTTTGGAGTGCCCCATCTCCTTCAGAAACACTGCCTCAAACCCTCTTTGGTAAAGGTAGCCAATCCCATCACAGGACTCTTTTTTTATCACAGTGGTTTGCTCGGAAACCTTCCCTCCTGCTGTCTCGGTGGCCGGCCCCCTCTTCCCGCTCCTGTCCCTCCCCGCAGCACCCTTCCCCCCAGAGCCCGGGGCTCACTCTTTTTGCCTTTGCTCGAGGAGCTGTCGTAGTCGCTCGACTCAATCTGCTTCTCCTTCAGGTCGGCTTCAAACCGGGCAAGGTCTGTGTCCAGCCGGCGGATGTGCTTATCCACCTGCGGGCACAAAAAGGGACCGGAAACATTCTTTGAGATGACCCAGAGAGTCCCTCCCACAGCATCCCCGGCCTGGACGGCCCAGGCTATCCCGATCTCGTCAGATCTTGGAAGCGAAGCAAGGTCGGCCCTGGTTACTGCTTGGTGCCAGGCTCCCCACAGCATCAAGGCAGTACACTGACTGCTTGGATGGGAAACCATCCAGGAAGCCCAGGGCTGCTACGTAGAAGCAGGCAATGGCAAAATACTTCCAAACAGCTTTTGCTTTGAAAACCCTACGGGGTTGCTATCAATGCCCCCTCTGAGCTGTGGAGTCCTGTGAGCAAAAATTCTACTTTGTGAGCTACTGGCATTAAAGTGGTGAGCGAGCGATTGGGCTGCTGCATCAATTAGTTTGCTCTGGAGCCCTCCTTCCTAGCTCACGCTAACTTAGCTTAGAGGGAACACTGGTTACTCTACGTCGGCTGCGACTTGACCGCACTTTTCACCGCTACCCCCCAAAGCTCCAGGAGGGGGGAAAAGAAAAACTGGGAGAAGGGGAACAAGGCCTCTGTAAAGGCAAGATGAGTTCCCTTAGGTCCAACGTGTTCCGATGCATTCCCCAGGGACCCCTTCCTTCTTCCTCAAAGTAAAGAGCCAATTCTGACATTCCTCTACCTCACTGGAGGTGCTTCAGAAAACCCTCCCCCCAAAGATCACCTTTGTGTCGGCAGGGAGCAACCACAGGGAGAGAGCCCGCTTACTTATTTACTGTATATATATCCTGCACTTGTCTCACCCGAAGCAACTTATATCATTCCCCTCTCCTCCATTTTATCCTCATATTAGCCACATGAAGAAAATTAGGTTGGGAGCGTGTGACTAGTCCAAGGTCTCCCAGCAAGCTTCTAAGGCAGAGCGGGGATTCGAACTTGGGACTCCCAGATCCTAGTCCAACACTCTAACCACCACATGGCTCTCCATCGTAACTGCCTCCATCACTGGAGAACACCTGTCCTGAAACACTGCCCCCCCCAGCATCCTGTCACTGACTCCATGGCAGCCATTTTGTGATTGACTGTAATAATCCCCAGGATCCCCAGGAATTACAGCTCATTTCCAGGCTACAGAGATCGGTTCTCAAAAGCCAGAAGTGCCCACAGGCTCAATGAAGTTGCGAGCCCCTGACCCACACTGGGTGGCTTTTCGGAAGACTTGAAGATTCAACACAGATATGCTAGAGTCATTTGGAAGAGGAGAAAACCACGTATGCAGCCCTGAGCTCCACACAAGAGGAAGACAGGATACAGTCAATAAATAAATAACAACCTACCCAGGAGTCATTTCGTAGAAAAAGAGGTGCAGGAGCTCAGTAGCATAATTTATTAGCATAACTTATTTGCATATGCCACACTCCCTGACATCACCAGAAGTGTGTCAGAAAGAAGGCAACACCCACCGCTCAGGCTCCATTGAACTGTTTTGGATTGCTCGCTATGGGGGGGGGAGAAACGTGCAAATCTGTCCTCACAGAGGAGGTGGAGCTTGTACCTGAATCAAACTTGGTCTTAAAGGTGCCACTGGGCTGTTTTGGATTGCTAGCTATGGGGGGGACGCGCAGATCTGCCCTCACAGAGGAGGGAGAGCTTGTACCTGAAGGTGGGATGGGGGGGCTCTACAACTTACCTGGCTGCTTCTTGCTCCTCATGGCCCAACTGAGGGCTGCTGGGAGCAGGAAGCGGGACTTTTTGCATGTGCCCGCCCCCTGGACTCCTTACTGCTGGAGCTCCGCTCCTGTGCGCTGGTCTACATGGGTCTCCCTTCTGGCATTGTAGGCTTTCAAGAACCCTGTGAGGTAGGTGAGGCTGAGAGTGAACGAATGGCCCAGGGTCATCCAGTGCGTTTCGTGGCTGAGTGGGGATCTGAATTCGGGTGTCCCCCCCATACACACTTCTAGTCAAACCCTTCAGCCCCAGGCTACCCTCCCCACCAAATCAGACCCCGGGGCCTCTGCTCCCTGGCTGTGCCTCATACCATCTCGTACGTCTGCATGGCCAGCTGCACTTTATCGTCCCCAAACTCCTTGCACTTCCCGTAGGCCTCTTGGATTTGCTTGAGCAGCCCCAGTTTCTCCTCCGAAGACAGCGTCCGCGCATTGCTGATATATTCGGTGGCCAGTTTATCGATTTCCGCCTTAAGATCTGAAAGCAGAGGCAGGGAAAAGCGTTATAACGAAGGCCGTGCTTGTCAGACACCAGGTCCCAGACAAAGGGAACGGGAAGTCCCCGTACACTGTTCCGCAATAGCGTCATGAAGGGTGCATCCAAACATCGCTGGACACTGTGCGATTGCTGCGCCTACAGCAAACTGGGTTACCGTGCCCAAGTACGGAAATCCGGTCACAAACGACAGCTATAGAGCCACGATAGCACAATCAGCAGCCCTGCACAGACGCAAGGCCGTAAAGAGAAACAGATTCATCCGGAGCCCGACTCTCGGTTCAGTCTCCAGGGCGCACCTTCTGTCCGTTGGTCCAGATCTCGCATGAGTTGGAAGTTTCTCTGCAGCTCAAAGGGGAGGTTCTCAATACCTGGGGGGGCAAAGAGTCACAAGTCAATCAAGGAAGGGAAGTGGGGGGGGGGGGGAATCTTCTTTCTGCCCTGTTCTTCATATCTTCTTAGAGTATAATCAAGGCTCACATTAGTTCCACACTGACTGAATACTGGCACAGATGATTTCATGCCCAAGTTGCTGTGTTGTGATCCACAAATGATTAAAATGGAGACAAACACAGATGTGTCACCAAGCAAGAGCTGAACGGGGAGCTTCAGCCCGGACTGGCTCTCCAGGAAGCATCCCTATAGGATGCACGTGGGGTCTTGATAGCATAATAATGTCAGCCCCACTTTTAGGGCGGCAGAAAAAATATCCAGTTCCCTTGAACAGTTGATTAATGTTTGGGAACAGTAATTAACATTCCATTAAGGCTCCTTGGAGGAGCTGTGGTGGCTCAAGTGGTTAAGACGCTGAACTCCAGGCTGTGGAAGGTCAGTAGTTCAGCAGTTCGAGACCCGAGTGTGCCGCATGACGGAGTGAGCGCCCTTCTCTGGCCCCAGTTCCTGCCAACCTAGCAGTTCAAAAGCAAGAAATTGCAAGTAGATAAATAGGTACCACTTCGGTGGGAAGGTAACAGCGTTCCGTGCTCCTTGGTGTTTAGTCATGCCGGCCACATGACCACGGAAACGTCTTCGGACAGCGCTGGCTCTTCGGCTTTGAAACGGAGATGAGCACCGCAACCCTAGAGTCAGATTCGACTGGCTTTCGAGCAAGGGAACCTTTACCTTTACTTTAAGGCTCCTTGGAAGGGGCAGGGCATTTTTGTCCAGGCCAGCTGGCAACCCCTCTCCACCCTGCTTTCTGGTAACAATGGGATTCACTGGCTGGCGAAACTTCACTTGTCCTCATCATTCCCTTGTTACACCTGCAGCTCCAAAGAGGAGGATTATTTCTTCTTCATGAACAAAGTTGGGAGTCCAGTGGCACCTTTAAGACCAACAAAGTTTTAATCTGGGTATAAGCTTTTGTGAGCACTCACAATTCTTCAGAAACAATCTACCTGAAGGAGTGTGGGTGCACACAAAAGCTTATACCCAGAATAAAACATTTTTGGTTTTAAAGGAAGCGCTGGACTCAAACGTTGTTCTGCTGCTTCAGACCAACGTGGCTACCCACTTGAATCTTTCTTCTTCATTCAAACATGCTTTAATGCTAGGGCTGCCAACCTCCAGGTGGTACCTGGGGATATCCCACTATTACCATTGGTCTCCAGATGACCAACATCAGTTTCCCTGGAGAAAATGGCTGCTTTGGGAGGTGGACTCTCTGGCATTGTACCCTGTTGAGGTCCTTCCCCCCCCCACTCCAGCCTCCCCAGGGTCCACCCCCAAAGTCTCCAGGTATTTCCCAACCCAGACCTGGCAACCCAATTTAACGCTGTCAGGAGACCCACACTGTAGACGGTGAGGCAAGTTTGACAAACCTCTTCACGCCCCTCAAAAACATCCTTTAAAAAATGTATTCGCATTTTAAGTACCAGTGTCAAACAGCCCCTTTGTAAAGTCACTTCCTTCACCCACCCTGCCGCCTTCAAAAGAAAGGCAGGGCCCCATATACCCGCAGTAAACGCCCCCAAAACATTTCACTCGCTTCATTTTTAAGGGCACACCCAAAAGAAAAGGCGTGGATGTGTAACACACAGGAGCCCGCAAACGCGTGTATGACAGATACTCCCGTCAGGGAACCCTGATTGGCTGCAGGCCGATATTACGTAAGCAGCCGGGACCAAACCCGAGTTTACCCCCTTCGTAACGTGTGAACCCTGCTCTACGTGTAAGCAAAACACGCTTTCCACCTGTGTCCCCCGGAAACGCCAGTCAGAGGCGAGTGCTGGTTTTTGCGGATCTTTCCCCTCCCTGCAATCCCCAGAATCCCGCGCCGCGTCTTACTGTCCAGGTAATGCTCCAGGTACATCCCCGCCGCCATTTTGGGTGCTAAGCAAGCGCCCGGGCTGCAGCCTCTTTCGTCCCGCCCCTTAGCCTCCATTTCCGCCACTACTGCAACCCACTTCCGTTTCCAGGAGAGGCGTTTCCGCCCGGCTTTCCCAGGCTCTTCCGCTAGTCCTCTGGTCCGCTGTGCTGATCCTTGCGTGGGTTCATTCATTGTGAAGAATTGCAGAGACCGGAGACTCCTGGAGCGTGGCTGATCGACCAGGATTCCTTTGCTTTTATTTAGTTCCTTAACAGAGGCCAGTCCAATTTTGTTCTGGCAAAAAACTTGTGTGGATTTACAGCATCCACATCTTCAGGTGCAATGTGTGGACCTTCATGTTGCATTCATTTTATGTGGGGGGGGGGGGGGGGGCAGCAGGATGAAGGAGCCTTGAATTGCAAGTAGTCCAGGGTAATATCCAGCTGTAATGGTTGCCAACCTCCAGGTGAAGCTTGGCGATCTGGAATTGCAGCTGGTTTCCAGATGACAAAGGTGAGTTCCCCTGGACTCTATGTACGGCATTATGTAGTGCTGAGGTCCCTCCCCTCCCCTGCAAGGCAGGGCAATAGGCTACTTGTTACATCAGTCACTCAGTAGGGATGCCCGCCTCCAGATGGGACCTGGGGATCCCCAGGAATTACAGCTCATTTCCAGACTACAGAGATCGGTTCCCCTGGAGAAAATGGATGCTTTGGTGGGTGGACTCTGTTCCCCGCTGAAGTTGCTGTCCTCCTCTGGCTCTATTCCCAAATCTCCAGGAGTTTCCCAGCCTGGATCTGGCAACCCTACTGCTGGTGGCCAAGGGGGACCTGGCAGCAACCCTAGTCTGTGGGTGTATGTGTCACAGGGGGTTGAGAGAGAGAGAGAGAGAGAGAGGTGAAAATGTCAACCACAAAGGAAGAGTCAGGTCCAAAGGACAATGGAACGCATTCATCAGTTGAGAACCAATGGAAGCCCTGCATGCTCCCCCAATGCACGTTGGGATTTAAGAGCTGCATTATGTCTACAGATGCCCGCCTTAAACGTATTTCACTCATTTTAAAAGAGAAAATATTTCACAGGCATTTTTTTCAGTACTCCCCCCCAAATTTCCTGTTTTTCCATGAGAAAAACTGTAAAGAGACCTTGGGGGGAAAGTGTTCCCCCCCCCATTTTTCTGATTTTATTTTCCTTTAGGTTCACATCTCTATTCTTCACATGCTCTGTTCTCTGAAGGGAAAGGTATTCTGTACGTGTTCAGAGGTACTCAGATTGAGGCTGTCAGAATTTTTGGAAACGGATTTAGGCCAGCCTGGAAAGGGAAGCAAAGGGGATTGTGCTTGTGGGTGCATGCAGAAATAGCTTTAAAAAAAACAAGGCTGTTGTGCCTTGAACTCGGCTCTTAAGGCCAAATTAACCCATTTGCACTCTGAGTTATGGAATGTCACTTCGAGGTGACGATGCATGACAAAGTTGAAAAGCATGCAGATAGCTGAAAAGGAATTTCATGAGGTGAGCATTTCTTGGGGGTGGAACATTTGCATTTAATTTTTCCTATGAAAATGTTTGGAAGTTTCTTGTTTTGATTTTGATGGAATCTTTGTTGCTACAGGTTATGGCCTGATGCAATAAAGACAGAGTTTCAGTTTATATCCCGCCTTCTGATCTGGGGGGGGGGGAATCCATAAGGCAGCTAACAAAACTTAATCAAAAGCAACCTTACAAAATTAAAACACAATCACCATTGTTGTTGTTCAGTCGCACAGTCGAGTCCGACTCTTCGCGACCCCATGGACCAGCTCCTGCCAGGCCCTCCTGTCTTCCGCCGTCCTCTGAAGTTGGCTCAATTTCATGTTCGTTGCATCTATGACACTGTCTAACCATCTCATCCTTTGCCGTCCCCGTCTTCTTTGACCTTCAATCTTTCCCAGCATCAGGGTCTTCTCCAGGGAGTGCTCCCTTCTCATTGGGTGGCCAAAGTATTTGAGCTTCAGTTTCATTATCTGGCCTTCCAGGGAACAGTCAGGGTTGATTTCTTTTAGGATTGACTGATTTGATCTCCTTGCAGTCCAAGGGACTCTCAAGAGTCTTCTCCAGCACCATAGTTCAAAAGAATCTATTCTTCGGCGCTCGGCCTTCCTTATAGTCCAACTCTCGCAGCCATACATGACTACTGGGAATACCATTGCTTTGACCATCCGGGCTTTTGTTGGCAGGGTGATGTCACAATTGCAGAGAAGTAAAAACAAGCAGCCCCTCCTTTCCCGCCCCCAGTCAGAAGCAGAGCTATCAAAACAAGGGATAGGAACAAGCAGTGTCTTCGGAGGTCCCTCAGAAGGGACCACCTTAGTATGATCTAAGGTTGCCAACCTCCAGGTGGTGGCTGGAGGTCTCCTGGGATGACAGCTGATTCCCGGGGGACAGAGATCGGCTCACCTGAAGAAGATGGCTGCTTTGGAAAGAGGACTCTGTGGCATTATACCCAGATGAAGTCCCTCCCCTCCCCAAACCCCGCCCTCCTCAGGCTCCACCCCCAAAATCTCCAGGCATTTCCCAACCCGTAGGTGCCAACTCTCGTCTGATCCCTCAACGGGTTGTCTGTGGGATGCGCAGGTTGACCCTGCATTGGGAACCTGGCAGACTTTCTGTGAGGGGAGACAAATACTTTGTTTCAGACGGGATGGAAACGTGGACAGTCCGGAAACAAAGCACTAATTCTCTCCATTGGATCTGAGTCCAGGGGCACTTTATAGATCCACAAGAGTCTCAGGGTGTAAGCTTTCAAGAATCAAAGCCCCCTTTGTCGGACACAGATCCAGCTGTTGTACTGCAGACCACCAGGCCTACCCTCTGAAACTAATCTGCATTCTGATTTTCATCACTTGTGTGTTCCTATATTGCTTCAGGGCTTTCCCCCCCCCCCAATGGGTTTTGCTCTCCCTTGTAGTCCCAGAGGGAGCAAAACACGCGTGGATAAAGGGGGAGGGACCCAAAACAATAGGGACAAACGAGTGGCAAAAAAACGAGGAATGCGGAAGAGCCTCAATCCTCTCGGTGCTCTGAGGCGTCACATTCAAGAAAAGAACATTCTTGTGCCTCTGCTCATTTGGGTGTTTGCGACCAAGCTGTGGAAAAGACCAAAAACTGAAAACGCTCACACCCCTCAGTGAGGCTGAAGAATTTATTTACAATCATTTCTTCCCCCTCGTCTCTGTCAACACTTCAAAACCTGCAAGCGATGGGAAGTAGAGTGTGAAACGAAACCGCGCGAGGAAATGTGGGGAAAGCTACTTATGCACCCAGCAGGGAAGGGACCTTAAGAGAGACAGGAGGGAGAAGAGGAGCCGCAGAATCGTGCTGTTGAAAGACAACAAATCTATCCCTTCGCACATCAACATGAACACACACACACGCACTTTCCTGAAAATATTTTCTCAGTGCTAAATAAATTAGAAGCTTCAGAACCCAAGGCAGGGTTGCCAACTTACCTGGAGATCTCCCACAATTACAATTGATCTCCAGACAACCAAGATCAGGCCCCCTGGAGAAAATACAGAAAACACCGCGTTGAAATAATAAACACAATATTCACATGTAAAAGGTAAAGGCTCCCTTGCTCGAAAGCCAGTCGACTCCGACTCTAGGGTTGCAGTGCTCATCTCCGTTTCCAAGCTGAAGAGCCAGCGCTGTCCGAAGACGTTTCCGTGGTCATGTGGCCGGCATGACTAAACGCCAAGGCGCACGGAACGCTGTTACCTTCCCACCGAAGTGGTACCTATTTATCTACTTGCAATTTCTTGCTCTCGAACTGCTAGGTTGGCAGGAGCTGGAACGAGAGACGGGAGCTCACTCCGTCATGTGGCACACTCGGGTCTCGAACTGCTGAACTACCGACCTTCCAGAGCCTGCAGTTCAGCGTCTTAACCACTTGTACTTATAGCTAAATATATTTGCTTTTTATACACAACATCAACTCTAGTGTATTGTAAACACTTTCAAACTAAAACATCTAGAGAAAATGGCGGCCTTGGAGGGTGGACTTTACGGCATTAGACCCTGCTGAGGCCCCTCCCCTCCTCAAACCCCGCCCTCCCCAGGCTCCACCCCCAAATCTCCAGGTATTTCCCAACTCAGAGCTAGCAACCCTAACTCAGAGGATGCGTTTTGTAACACACACACACACACGTTTAAGGCATTAAAGACTCAGGTGGACCAAGGTCTCCAGAACAGTTGAGGCCCTGCTGCGTTTGGAACTGAGGGCGGGACGGATCTTGCAAAACACCTGACACCAGCAGAACCCGGACTGTCTTCAATCCTGCGGGAGATCTCTTCCGGCTTTGAGGATGTCAGACGGGTGGTCTCACGGGTGGAGCTGGATGCAGAAGCCGATGGATGGAAGGGCTCTGGCCGCTGCCCCGTTTCAGAGACGAGGAACGCTTGAACGAGAGAGGCACAGTATGAGTAGCCGGTGTGGAAGGCCTTGTCCTCTGCCACTGTGGGGAGAAAGAGCACATACCAAAGGATACTTCTGTAAGTCATAACAGAAAGGGAAGCCAAGAAGAAGAATTTGTTTTTATACCCCGCTTTTCTCTACCTTCAGGAGCCTCAAAGCAGCTTACAATCGCCTTTCCCTTCCTCTCCCCACGACAGACCCCTTGTGAGACAGGTGGGGCTGAGAGAGTTCTGAGAGAACGCTGACTGGCCTGAGGTCACCACGCAGGCTTCACATGAAGGAGTGGGGAATCGAACCCGGCTCTCCAGATTAGAGTCCGCCACTCTTAACCGCTACACCACACTGGCTCTCCAAATAACTCAAGTGTCCAAATAGCTTGCATATCTGTGTGGAATGGCAGGAGGGGCTCGGGGGTGGGGATCAGCCATGTGGTTACCTCCACAGCTGTCTGCCTCCTCATCTATTTATTTATTTTGCTTCATTTCTACCCCGCCTTTCTCCCAAACAAGGATCCAAAGCAGCTTACATAGTTCTCCTCTCCTCCATTTTATCCTCACGACAACCCTGTGAGGCAGGTTAGCCCGAGGGAGTGTGACTGGCCCAAGTTCA